TTTCAGCAGAAATTATAGTCTAAGATTATTGTCCCAGAGAGCCCCACGTCCTGATAGAGAAGCTGCTGTATTCCCTCATCCAGAGAGCTCACCCTCTGACTTCTGTCCTCCTGCTCTCCCCACAACTACAGACTCCTCTGCAATGGAAACACCACGATCTGCTTCCACCTTCCAGACCCAGTGCCTGCGGCCGTTCAGGTCTGGACCTGCTGGATTCATTCTATTCTGTTATGATAATGTTGTCTTCCAGGACTGCTGGTAGTGTGGTTACCAAAGGTGTCTGCAAAGACGTCAGATGGAGTCTGAGTTTTCCAGGAAGCCGGTTGTTTTCCCTCGGTTTCTAGCACCCCTTCTGAACCGGGAGAGCGGGATGCTGTATATTTAAAGGCATCTGTTGTACAACTGCCGAGCCGAGAGCACTCTCTCGAGGCTGGGTAATCACACAGATGGCGAGCTTCGCCAGCAGAGCCACTTGCTGTACATGCCACATTTGGAGGAACATGTAAATACTTGGCTCCACTGTGAGAGTTTTCAGAGGTGTGACATTCATTTAGAGAGTCACAGCTTTGGTGGTGACAGCTTCTCCTTGGGGGCTCGCAGGACTAATTCCTCCTTTCTTATTTTTACTCTTGACATTCCAGAAATTGCCACAACTTCCTATTCTAACTCAATTTCTAAGAGTTGTGTTTTACTTACTCTGCTCCGAAAGACGGAGGAAGACAGGAAGGAAGGTGCAGAAGGCCTGGGTGCCAGGAGCTTGCATGGCCTCTCTGCCACCATGGAGTTCTGGGGTCTACATTTGAGTTCCTGCCCACATTTCCATGAAGACCTCCAGCAACCGGTGGCATTGCTTCTTACTTTCTTTCACCCCTAACTTACTATAAAAAAGCTCTCGGGTTTTAAATGCATATTTCCTCTATTAATTATTAATGGAGGGCTCACTCGGTGTCAAATAGTCATGTCCAGGGCCCCTTGCAGGATGTCAGCCGCTCAGTGTGTAAGAAAGTCAGGAAAGGCCATGGCTGAGGAGGACTGGAGAAGACAAGAGGAGGGAGAGGGACAAGACAAAAGCCAAGATGGCACGGGGTCTGGAAAACGAAGGGAGGCCAGGATGAGGTGTGGCAAGGTAGGAGCCTGGTGTCTGAGAGAGACGTGAAGCGGGCACCGGGGGAGGTCAGAGTGACGTGGCACCCTCCGGAACGAGCTCACCGGTAGACGGGATGCTCTGCCATCAAACAGGAGCAAGTTCAGAGCTCGGAATGTGGAGGGGTGTGGAGAGTTTCATGAGCGGTGCAGCTCCAGGTTTCCTGGAGGAAACTGATGTTGGATTTTACAGCATGACTGGGGGTGGAAACCACAGGATAGAGGGAGAGGAGAGCAGCGCCTGGTTGCCAATATCCGCTCTTGCTAACTTCACAGCACAGTACAACAACTAGTGCACCACGGCTGCCCGACTATGCTTACCAAACAAAGCGGTGAGTGAAAGTGACGCTTAGTTCAAACTTTATCACCTGGGGCTCAAATTCAAGGACACACTTCATACTTGTGCACCACATGAAGTGCTACATTAAAATGCAGGGTGTGTAAGATGACAGGGCTCATAAATATAAGAAAGGAACACTAGTCAGAAGCAAGCTTAGAAAGCCAAAAGGGAGAGGAAGACAGGGAGATAGAATAAGCCAGAGAAGGAGCTTGCATAAAAAATAACATTAGTTTTCGTATTTGCCAGTGCCATTTTGAGTCATTTTCTATAGAAAACTTAGAAAAAATAATGTAAAACAATAACAAAACCACATTCCTAATTCCAACATCCAGAGAAAATCAAGTACACCTTGACACCCCAAGATTAGGTTGTACATCCTGTAAGACATCTGTGTTAATATTTCAGAAAGATGGGTTAATTTTCACCCACAGTATGCTCTTTTCCTCCTCACTAGTTTATTATGGGAGAAATTAATAGGAAGGTGAAAGTGGTTGGAAATAATTATCATCTTAGTGCAATTTACTGAAATATCAAGAAGACAGGAAACTTCTAGACTTGATCTTAGCCAAAAGGCTGAGAAGTGATGACAGGAAACTTCTAGAAGCCAATTAAACTCCAATTTCGCTGTAGAATTTTGTGCTAAGGATGGAACCCTGCACCTTACGCATGGTAACCCAGCAACACACCTGATTCCTAACTGGGGGGGGGG